CCTGCCTCCATTCATTGTGAACAAGGAAGCTAAGAGCCCCGCTTGCTGGCAGCCGGCCCGTATCCTGAGGGGAGCTTGTTACAGGGTGAGGCATGCACTGCAGCCAGAGCAGGGAAGGAGAGGGGGGACTGAGTCCTCGATGCTGTGCTTAAGCCACTGTGTCATTGAACCGGAAGTCCACCCAGCCTTGGACCTTCTAGTCAGGAGCACCAACTGCTTGTCCAGGACATTCTGATTTAGGTTCAATGCCCAGCGACCACGGGCATCCTAACGGATGGGGCCTCCGGGGGGTTGCGATCCCCACCCCAGGAAGCTGGTCCATCCCGCCGCACACACTCTCCCCACGAGGATTCTGACGCACCTACGTGTCCCCATCTTACATTTCCAGATTTCCATACCCAGGTGAGGCCCTTCGTGATATGCCTGACGTATTGAAAGCACTTGACATATGTCTGTTGAACGGAATGGAGTGAATAAGCCAGAGCACTGCTTAAAAGTAGAAACGATGCAGGAAGTGCGCGTCTCCCAAAAGGCAAGGACATTCCAAAATAACACTTCGCAGCCCTTTCTAGGTCACGGCAAGCTCTCAGACACCTTATACCGTTTAACCTTGTACTACCCCAGGGACCATCATTACCTTCATTTTATGGATGAAGAAATAGAGAATGAGAAAGGTCAAGTTAGAGGCAAGGCAATTAGGTGATCCCCAAATGAACGCACTAGCGAAGAGGCGACTCAGCCCAGGTGTGCCTGGGGGACCTGTTTCCAACTCAGCTCATTTCAGAGCATGTTCACAAACATCTCAAGCGGGCCTGGGGGAGGCAGGGACGCCTAGGACACACACCAGCCATCGAGGGACTCCCAGTCCAGCCGGGATCCAGGCATAACACACCTGTTCACAGAGGATCTGATACAGCTTGTGGGTCTCAGAAAGGCATCTCTATTTTGTTATTTTCTGTATCTTAACCTCTCCAAGTCTCCATTCCCCCTGCCTCTTCTCCCCGCCCCCCCCAACTGAATTCTCAGTCCAGCCTATACCAGGCTGTCTCAGTCAATTCCATGTTTTCTTCTTTTTCTTTTCAGGACTTCCTGGGACGGGGTCTGAACCCTAAGCGCTGAGGGGCTGCCAAAGGTGGGGGAGGCCTTTGTGCTGGCCTTTGCCTGAGCCTCGGGTCTGGTTACCTGTGGTGCGGTCCCTGTCCCTTGGCTTCGTCATGACGCCGACACCGCCAGGATCCACCCGCGGGCTGACCCTCCCCGTCCTCGTTGGAGACACAGAGAAATCTGGAATTCTCCCACGCAGCTTTGGAGCTGAGGAAGCTGTGGCTGCTTCAGAGCCTCACTGCTCTCAGCCTCGTGCGTAATCATCTCTACCTTCTGTCCTCAGGCCACAGAGGGAGGAGGAACACCTGCACGCTGCCTGGTCCCGGGCAGGCATCAAGGCTGCGCTCCTGTCCCTTGCACAGTCACGCTGTCACCCTCCCCTTTCTGAAGCTGACCGGGAGGAGAGCCCCCTCCCCTGCACACTCGCCATCTGCGTTCTTGCTTTCACTCCAACCCTCTCATATTCTTCCTCTTGGGAGACGGAAGTGGGCAGCAGGGAGCCTAGCTCAGCGAGCGTTTTGTTAGATCTTTACAGCTCACACCTGGACTGTGGTGTCGCTCTTAAAGCCCAGCCCTTTGACTATGCTCTTCTGGCTCTGCAGCCCCACCTGGACTCCACGGACCTTTTATCTCGCGGCCTGCGTGCAGAAAGGTCTCGGAAGAATAAAAGAGGATTTGAAGGGGGGAAAAAAAGTGAGCCGTAATCGGCTGACCCACGCGAGCCAAGGAGAGGAAAAAGCAGCATCCTCTTCCTCTAGGAACATAATGTGATGAAGACAACAGGGCAGGCAGCCTGTCCTCGTCATCAGGGACCTGGTCGTGCTCCCTGTTCCCTCCTCATGTGCCTCTTCATGCAGCGGAGACTTTCACGTAAAGAGGCGATCCCTCTCTTCCGGTCTGTGTCGAGGACGGACGTCCTGAGGCTCAATGATAACAGGACCTTAGATTTGCCTAACTCTCCAGTTTACCAAGCATCTTACCTCCCTTAATACATTGACTTGTCGCAGCTCCATGAGGAGAGCAGGTGTTATCAGCCCCGTTTTACAGATAAGGAGGCCAAGGTCCAGAGAGGTGAAGGAACTTGGCCCAGGCCAACCAGAGAGTGGAAACCATCTGAAAAGCTTATAGCCTCCTGTTTCTAAATCCTCCGTGAGGGGTGCACCCAAAGGTGTAGGGTAGAGACATGATCACATTTGCGTTCAGAGGGAACATTCTGGTAGGAAGGCGGAGGATAGACTGGAAGGATCTGAGGCTGGAGAAAGGTACACTGGTTAGGAAATCACTGCAATGGTTCAGGTGTGAGAGGATGCAGGCCTACTCTACAACAGAAGCTTCAGGAAGGGAGTAATCAGAGAGAGAGAGAGGAAGGAGGGTCAGTTTGGGGCAGGCACCAGATCACTTCGAGGACTTGTTCACACACAGATTGCCGGGCGCCACCCCCACGGATGCCGATTCAGGAGAACGAGGGAGGGGTCCGAGAATTTTTATTTCTAACCTGTTTCCAGATGCTGTGGCCGTTGGTGGTGGTCTGGACACCTTACTCTGAGGGCCTCCCGTCCATAGGACTTGGCCACCAATAAGAAATAGGGAAAGAAAGTCAGAGGGAAGTCTATGCCGACTTGCAGGTTCCTGCTGTGGCTGTCCGGGTGGATAGGGACTAGGAGGGACGAAGGTTGGGTGGGACGAAAGAGGGCGGGGTCAGCTCGGGATGTATTCAGTTTGAGGGCCCTTGGGAACCCCCAGGAGGAGGTATCTCATGGGTAGTTGGCTGGTTTTAAGTCCAGAACTCAGGAAAGAGACTGAATTGTAATTAAAGACTTGCAAGTATCCAAAAAGAGTGGGCAGGTAAAGCCCACGCTATGAGCGAGATTGGCCAGAGAGACAGAGGGGGAGGGGGAGAGGCCCAAGGACAGATCCTGTAGTTGAAGCTACGTGTTGATTTGAATCATCAGTGTTCAAGAAAAATAATAGAGATGTGAATTTTCACTTGCCATTTTTTAAACTTATTTGAGAGAGAGGAGAAACATTGATTTGTTGTTCCACTTATTTACACATTTACTGGTTGATTCTTATATGTGCCCTGACCAGGGATCGAACCTACAACCTTGGTGTATCGGGATGATGCTCTAACCACCCGCGCTATCCAGCCAGGGCCTTTGCCTGTCATTTTTAATTGTATAGTCTTGGGGTTTGTTCACCATGACCCAGGCTTAGGTAACAGTTTCATAGGGCTTTAAAATCTTCTTTAAGATTCTAATCAAAGGTTAGCTGTGCTTTGCTGCTGACATGACAGATGTTAAAGAAAACCTTCTATTCATGAACTGGACCACGCACAAGATAGCGTGGGCCAAGTGGCAGAAGCTTCCTAAACTTCAGTTTCGTCACGCCTAACACTGCCATACTGATACCTCGTTCACAGCTCCGGGGGAAGTGGGGAGGACACACGGGCAGCACTGCACCTGGCCGAGACAGCTCAGTAAGAGTAACTGTCATTCTTGCTGCGAGATGACCTTGGTGAGGCAGCTTCACTAACTGCACCTACGGGACAGGGGCCAAAGGGAGACTCGCTTCCCATGGAGCTCCACCCAGTGGACTAAAGACAGGGGTTTTGTGTCAACAATAGCAGTAATAATCCCAGTATTATAAACATTGCAATTTTAGAACTTGAAGGGGAGAAAAAAACACAAATCTTTAGAGCAATATGCCTTATCCATTGTTTCAATGTGCTTTTATAACAAAGTGGATGGAAAGTGGTCTTCCTGTGTGCTGGGCAGGCTGGGTATATTATTCCGTTTGATTTGTCAATTTAAGGCCTTCAGGTAAAGCCCCGGTGAACGGCTCTAAGTTCAAGAAGAGTTTCTGGGTCCCTGTGGTCTCAACAAATGCCATTGCTGAGGCCACCCAAAGGGGGTCATGGCAGGTGGCTTGTTGTCATGTATTCAGAGCAGCAGGTGGCTGGCCACAGCGCCAACTCCACTGATGGGCAGCCAGACCTGAGTAGACAAGCCTGGCCTTTTTCTTGTGGACACTGAAACCACTTTTGCTCTCACCTCTCCTGTTCTCATTTGCTTTGGGAGCCCAGCTCTTCCTTTGATGTGCCTGCTATTTCCCCCCAAACAAAACCCTTCTCCACTTCACATTACCTTTAATCTGAGTATCTGCTTCAGTGCCTTGACCAGGGGCCTTATCTAGTCCAGCGCCTGAGTTTGACGTACTCCGGGATGTACAGTCGAACGTGTGGGCTGGACTGGCAGCTCCCCTTGTCCTTCGTACCTTTTTTTCCAGAGAGTTCTCACCTGTCCCCAGGTCCTGGGGTGCTAATGGCAGAGACAACCTTTTTCTGTTTCTGCTGGGCAAAGAATGAGGCCCAAATGCACTTCCTAATGATTTGTTTTCTAGCTGGGCTGAGCAGAATCAAAGCCACAAACCACCAAGGAAGGCCTAAGACATCTAAAAGAACAGAGCAAGCCATGTAAACTGCTAGAAAAACAAAGTAAAATAAAATCGGAGGCCAGCAGGATTCTCTGCACTTTATTTAGGAGAAGAGGATTATTTTTATATACAGGTAAATGTATGCCATTAACACATTATGTTATGGTAAGTTATTTAATGATCATTGCTGCTAATGTTGTTTATATTTATATATATGCTTTTATTAAAAAAAACAAACAAACATTAGCTATGTTACTCAGAACAAGCTATTAAATGACCAGTAGTTACCTCAGAGGACTGCGGTGAGGATAAATGAGCTACTCCGTGGAAAAGTCCTCCCTAGCCTGGTATTTGGCTCCGAGACAGGTGTCCACTTACTGATACTTAAATTCATTGGGTTAACCTGTGCATGGCGACAGATAGCCACAAGGGGGCACCAAGAGCCAGGTGCAACGGTGAAGTCCTCCAGGGATTCGTGAGCTCATCCCAAACTAATTGGTAAACCAACCGGAAGTAGGTATCGTTCCAGGCAGCAGACGATGGAAGTTCAAGGCACGTCCTAAACATCGCCAGGTCTTTTTTCCAATCGGAAGCATAGCTTCACACCAGGAAGTAGGCTGCGATGAGGAATGCACAAGGTAGGGTTCTGTGTACAAGGCAGGGTTCTAGAAGCTGGGAGGATGCAGAGGTTCCCTGGAGGAACAGCAGAGGGAGTTTTTGTTTACTTGCTGACTACTCGCTGTGCCTTGAGGATACTGAAGAGCAGAAGGCATCGTCCTGCTCCTTTCGTTCTGACTGAAGAGGGCCCCAGAGGCTCGGCAGAGAACTTGACCTTTGTCCAGAGGCTGATAAAAAGTCAACAGGTATTACGAGCAGGGAGGAGGCAGCGGAGCGAGGAAGGCACTTGGCACGATTTGCTGGAGCGGAGCGCTGGCAGGGGAGTGCAAGTGGGGAATGCCCCTGGCAGTGCTGCAGCAGGGCCAGCGCGGGGCCAGACTTCGTTCAAGCAAAACCTCTTAATGACACGGAACTTTTAAGAGAGAAACGCCAGTAGCTAAGAGAAATAAAAATGAGGCTGTTGTGGCTGAAACAGGAGTATGGAAGCTGAGTCCTTAGCCACGGGGCCTCTTTCTCACCTTCTTACAATCCCCACAGTGATGAGTTGGCTAGTTTTTAAAAACCGAATCGGACGTTGGAAGCACCATGGGTGCACCTCTGCGCTGGAGGGGGCAATGCGGCCTCGAAAGGCCGGCTACAGGAACTGAATTCCAGAGCTGGGGCCTCAGGCGTAGTCTCCAGGACACGAGTTCCTGTCTGTGAACTGGGCCGGCTGCGTGGGCACGGGACAGCAGCTCAGTTAGTGCCCAATGCTGACATGTTCCCTGCCTGCCTGAGGAATGCGTGGTGCATCCGCGACGCCAGTGCGTGGGGCTGGCATCGCGGACGCCAGGAGGAGGTAGGAGCTACCAAGGGATACCACCTTGGAGGGTTTGCACAGAGCAGTGGAAATACAGGTCCAGGGAGGCTAAACAGACGGTGGTCAAACCTCTTGGCAAGTCGTTGAATACTTCGTGTTTTGAGTTTCTCATTTATAAAATAATGACATCTCTTTGCAGGTCTGGTGTGAAAGAAAGAAGCGCTCCACACACAAGAGACCCAGTAATTTGTTGGTTTCATTCTCAGAGCAATTTAGCACCTTTACTGCCAGATGGCGCCAGTGAGCAGCGCTGCCCTTTCCGAAGGCTTTTCTTTCCACCCTTTGGGGCGCTAGGTAATTATCTTCCTCCCTGTCATGCTCAGGCTGGCATTTAAATCCAGTTCTGCACACAGACTTTCTGGTTTTAATCCATCTGCTCCATGAAGAACTGTGAAACTCAGAAATACCTACTTCTAGCCAGACACCCATTTCTCCAACAGGATTTGTCAGTTGATAAGTCTTTGTGATGTATAACCAGGCAGTTGGGCCTTCAAAAGCAGTCAAACATTTAATTAGGAAAAAAAATTTTTTTGGTATGCTTATCTCTATTATAAGTCAGAGAAACTGGAAAGAGTGCAGAAATTGAAAGCCCAGGCCGTGTGGGTTTGAATCTCAGTAAACAGAGTAACCTTGGACAAATTATTGGGTCTTTTTGAACCTCATTTTTTCCGTCTGCAAAGAGGTTGTAATAATAGTAGCTGTTTCATAGGAACGTTCTGGGAATAAGTGAGATAATACATGCAGTGCACTCAGCGTAAAACCAGGTGTAGGAAGCACTTGCTAAATATAAGCAGTTCTGACTGTCCAGAGGAGCTTTGAAGTCAGGAGGACAGAGATTCGACTTTGAGCTCTTCAACTTCCACCTTGCCTGACCTTGAATAAGTTATGGAAAGTCTCTGAGCTTCACTTCCCTCAAAAGTTCCAAGATTACTATGGAAATTAGAGAGATGTTTATGGGATACCTTTTATTTTTTATTTGTCATGACCCATTGCAGATAGGATTTGAGTTTACCCACTCCCAACCAAAATGAGCCCAGTGACTTGCCTTTTAAATCAGGTAATAAAATCAGGATAAGAGAAAAACAGAGTGAGGAAAAATGTGGAAAAGCAAGGGATGAGATGAGGATCTTAGGTCACATTGCGAGAAGTCTGTAATTGCTAGCGATGGGTCACAAATCTGGCTTTGAGCCTCTCAGCATCCGAGGCAACGAAGAAGGGAAGTCTGGTTAGTTAACCGATTCCGAGTGCCAGGGAAAATGCAGAGGAGGGCCGCAGAAGAGACCCAGCTGTTTCTAGTTCTGAGGCTGAGGAGCCTGTATGTAGCACATGGTGCATACACAATGGATGTATAAATGGAAGTGTCCTCATCTGCAAGCGCAGAGGAAAGGGTACATCTAGGAATAGAAGCAACTTGGAAGAGGTAACTTTTGAGCGGAATGAAACTGCACGCAAACTTGCCAGGTGCCTGGAGGGCTGGAGCAAGAAGGGAGCCTGTCCCTCCGGGGCGAGCGTGGCAGTGTCTGCACCAACCCAGCCCCATCCATCATCAGCATGGTGACTTCAGAGCCAGGGACTCCCGTGGTTTGCATGGCGTGCAGGTGAAGCTCCCGTCGGATGGGAGGGCAGAGGGGCTTGCACAGCATGAGGAGCTGGAAGCAGAGGTGACCTGGGAGCTTGGACCTCACAGCTGCTTTGGTTTACCGGCTCTTCCTCCTGGACATCTGGTGTTGCATGACAATTCCCAGAGGGAAGTGAGCTGTCTTTTTGTGTGTGTGGTTTTGCTTTGTTCTGTTTCCTTGAGGACTCATCCTCATGGCTCTTGAAGGAAGACTGTGGACAAGATGGTTACAGGGAATATTCCTTTTTCTCCCCAGGTCTTCTCAGCCGTTACTACCTGTGCTGCAGGATTCTTTGACATAACTGATTGAGTGAGGGTGTTTAGGCTAGAAAAACCATAGCTAGGGAATTATGTTCTTACTCCTTTTCTTCCATACCACATTCTCTGCTCCTTTTTGCTCCTTCTTCCTGCTTCCTCCCTCTCCCTCTTCCTTCCCCGTCCCTCCAGTCCCTTCCCCCTCCCCTCCCCTCTCTCCCCTTTTCCCCCCTCTATCTCCCTCTCCCACACACAGTGGGATAAACCAGGCGAAGATCCACATTTCCTTTTGCTTTAGCCATCCAGAGGGGATAGGCTCCGAGGAGCATCCCAGTCCTTGCATCCCCTTGAGACTTTATCCTGAATAAACTTTTATGCAAAGACAGTGCTTTGCTGCTTCCGAGGTGTTTGTGGCCAGGAGGTTGAAAATGAACTAATTAGCGATTACAATTAGGCTTGGATTCCTGCACGCACACTTGGTACTATTTCCTTGTTCTCAGCAACAACTGAGCAGCTGAGTAGTCACTCACTCTCAGGACTTAAATACCCTCGGGGCTGCTCCATCACTACAGGGGGGTGGGGGAGTAGCTTATTATCTCTGCATCATCTGCTTTCTAAGAATTCTCTGCAGAGCCAGCTCCTGGTACGGTCCCCGATGGTTTTCTTTGCCCCCTCTGTGTACATTCGTGACAGAGGCCACCTCTTCGCCAGCCCTGCCCAGGCCTGGTGGAGGCACGACCGGACAAGAGTCAGGATGTCAGGGTTCCAGGTGTGACAATCAGACAAGTTGGGTGGCTTTGGATACATTACTTCTGTTTTCTGGTCCTTGATTTTCCCATCCATAAAAAAAAAAAAAAAAGAATTTGTATATTGAAAATAATTTTTTTATATGTGGATTTTTTTTTTCCTAGGGGAAGAGATCTGGTTGATTTATAAATTCTTACGCACCTCAGAGCAATTCTTTGGCTGTGTGTTTCCAGGAAGGTCATACATCGAACTGTCCAGCAAGTTTTCGCTGGCTGCCTGCTGTGTATCCGGTCCTTTGATATGGTCCAAGGATGCAAAAGGAAACAAGACAGTTTCCAAGGCTACCACTCTCCCGTGGGGGAGACGGACCCACAAACAAAGGGTTATGATGAGACGCCCGACATAGAAAGATGGAGACGCACACAGAGCATTGGAGGAACACGGAATGCCTGGAAGTGCTGGCAACGTTTCCTCTTTGCCTCCAGAGGGGACCTGAACTGGTGGACAGAGAGAGGGGGCTTCTGAGGGCTCCCGTTCTGGTTTGCAAAACAGACGGTGTGTTCCCGGCCAATAATTCCGAAGGCCGCAGGCTCCCACGGACCCTGTCCCTCCTGACTCCCTCCCTTGCCTCACGCTGCCAGCAAGCTTGTTGATGTTAAAGTGGAAATGGGCCTCCTCTTTCCTGGCAGTAACCCCTGCTGTGTAGTCCTCAGACCTCCTCCCTCTGGGCAGGAAGCCCCACACCCTGCAGGGGCCTCCAGGATCCCAGCAGCCCCTCTTCCTGCAACTCCTGGGCTCCCTCGGGCCCCGTCCATCCAGCACTCCAGGGGCATGAACCTTACAGACACACGGGCCTCCCTGAGCCGTTCCCGGTGACCTCACGGTCTGCCGGAAACACTGCGCAGTGGTACATCTATTTTTTAAAAAAAGATGAGCAGGAATAGGGATATCAGCACCTGGTGAGCCCGAGGGGAAACACTGCGGGAGGCCCGCGTTCTAGTCCCAGTTCCCTTACTTACCAGCTACATCCACGCCTTCCCACCGCGGTGGGACCCCCTGGTCCAGGCTGCCCTCCCTTCTGCCCTCAACTATTCCACCTCATTGTCCGGTGCGCCCCCTATAATTCACTCTCCACATGGCAGCCAGAGGGACCTTTTAGAAATGTAAATCGGAACATGCTGCTTCTCTATTAAAACTTGCACATATTTTCACTGCGCTGAGAATAAAATCCAGACTCCTCACCACGTCCTGTTACACCTTCCATGACCCGGCATCCGCCCACCCTGGACCCGCGCCTCCTCACCCTGTAGGCTCCCTGACCTTCTGTCTGTCTCGGTTCTGCCTCGGGGCCCATGCATTTGCTGATTGTTGTGGACGGGACTGCCCTCTACCCATTTAGGCCTGGCGCCTTCTTATGATTCAGATCTCAGCTTAAGAGGTACATTTGTGTGTGTGTGTCTGTGTGTGTGTGTGTGTGTGTGTGAAAAGTCTGCCTTGAGGATCTCATCTAAAATTTCCCCAACCCACCCCCATCCCAGCTGCTCTTCCTTTTACTCTTTTGTGGTGTTTATTATAACCAGAAATTATTGTTTATCTGTTTATTGTCTGTCTCCTCTTCCCCATGAATGAGACTTGTCTGTCCCATTCTCTCTTGTATTCTCAGCCTCTAGAATAAGGTATGGCTCATAAGAGATAATCAAATATTTGTGGAATGACAGAATGAGTAATGAGGGTAAAGTCATTTAATGTATTTGAGCCCCCAGTTCCCTGGCTATACGTCTGATCTTGGATGGTTGTAAGAAAGCTCTCTGAGGCAGATGTTACTTGACTTGAGGAAATAAAAAACCACATGAGTTAAATAATTTGCTTAAAATCATAATGGTGGCCTGGAAGTGTATCCCCCTAGAGATACCAATAAAAATTTAGGGGCAAAGAAACAGGGGAGAGGGATTCTCTCATTCTTCCAAATTTTAAATCCCTCCAAAATATAACCCATTCATTGGAACACGCTGCTACCTGTCTGGTTCATTCAGAAGCAAAATCTGTGGCCCAGACTCCGTCCAGTGGGTGATAGGCCACATTCCCACACGTAATTCTCCTGCATTGATTAATTCTGAGCACATGCACTACATTCAGCCATTCATTTATTTATCCATTGACCCACCACATGTGCACCCCTAACCTGAGAGGTGTCAGACGGCTCCTGATTTTTGCTAAGGTTCTATTCATCCCTGGTCCTCCCTAGAAGCACATGGTCCCTAATATGTTCTACTGGTCGAATTCTAATTCTTTAACCAAATAAGATAATGCATATAAAGTGCTTATCAGCCAGGGTTCTGGCACAGCGGAGACACTCAAAAAACGTTCGTGAGGATGGTGATGATGATGATGGCTGTGGGACCTGCACCTCCTTTCTCGGCCCGGCTGCCCAGAAGGGGAGGGAGATATTTCAAATGCCCTTGGCATTATTTTCCCCTTCCAGAGCCATCCTATTAATACATTCAGCACATATGACTATCATTGCCTTTTCCTAAATCCACAGCCTGTACCAGCAACTGAAAGTAATAAGCATAATTTAAATGCTGTGTCTTTCCTAATTAAAATCTATCCAGAAAGGGATGCCAGAGTTATTTTTGTCCATGTGGCAGAGGAAGTTCCATGATATTAATTCAGCCTTCTAAACAACGTCCACGGGGAGGTGTGTGTGCGTGTGATTACATGCATGTGTGCATTGCATGTAATGTACGTTTGGGGGATGCCACCAAGAATGCACAGTTGGCCCCGGGTTGTAGGATATGAGTTTTCAAAGGAAGCCATTGATGGAGCCACTGGAAATTGCCTCCGGAGGCGCCCCCAGCTGGAGTGCGCCTTGGTCCCTGCAGGTGGTTCCCAGGAAGCCCACCGGAAGGGCTTTTCCACTGGGAGGTGCCGGCCCAGCCCTGCCCGCGGCGGCTCACGTGCGCGGCGGCTCCTTGGAAACTGGTTGCCAGAGCAGCTGGGTCCACCCGGCTTCCCCAGGAGGACAGAACCACACGCGGGGCACCCTCTGCTCCCCCAGGTGCCTCTTTCCAGGACAACGACCCTGAGCAAACCACACAGGAAACCAGGTCCAGATAGAGAGGAGGAGACAGTGGGAAAACAAGGAGGAAGAGCAGGCAGGAAAACTAGGAAACACACATGGGTTTAAAAGGTTTAAGGGACAGTCTCTCCAAGGGCAGGCTTTGCTGCCCCGGGCAGGCGTTCGTCTGCAGAAGACAGCTGGCTGAACCGAGAAGACAGTGTGCGGCATGCTCTTCGTTTTCAGAGGCTCACCCGGCCCTGAGCCTCCACAGCAACTGCTAGTATTTTTGAAATACATCTCACTGTATTTCTCTTGTTGATAAAACTGTTTCTTTCCTGGCAGCCCTTCGGCCATATTGCCCCAGGGAAGGAGCAGAGAGGAAAGCGATGGATCCGGGAAGGAGGAAGACGAGCTGTTAAGGGAACTCAGCCCACGCCCAACAGGAATGGGGAAGAAAAGCATTTACAGGTCTGAGAAGGGGCCTCTGAAGAGACAGAAGACCGGGCAAGAAGTAGGAGATACGGGTATTTCTGCTCCCAAAATCAAGGTCAAGACCAGGGTTGCTGGGGTGGGAGAGGAAGGAAAGCAGGGGTTTAGGAGGCCCCAGGTAGGGAAATGGCGTAACTTACCCCTGGGAATGCAAATGTTTAGGCAGCCCTAGGCGGGCCCAGCACACACCAGCTTGGCTCCAGGGCTGCAGGTACCAGGGATGGGGAAGGCGTCCAGGTGAGGGGGCCGCCAGTGCGACTGGCGGGGACTTGCTGACTCCAGGTTGGTGCAGGGAACACACATGAGAGCTCCTGGGGCCCCAGGGAGATGCAGAAGCTGGAAGAAGATTCGCGTGGCTGCAGGAAGAGGGGACTCCCCTCTGGAGGCCAAGTCGGGGATCACACACAAAGCTCCGGAGGACGAAGTGAGATTCCTTTCTCAGGGACGGACGCAGGAATGAGACCAAAGCATCAGCACGCAGAACGCGGGCGTCTCCCTCCACCCGGACGGAGCGGGGAGGAAAAGGAGAAGGTAGAGAGGAACCTGCCCGGGACAGGTGTGTTGTGAATGGATTAAATTCTTAACCCAAAGAGGTCAAGTTGCATGAAAGAGCCTGTTTTAAACTGGAAAAGAAATTACTTTTCATTAGTCCATTGAGTTTCCTGGAGATTTAAATAAAGATGACATCAATTACAGGTAACTTTAAGAGCTACGTCCCCCCGCCCCCGCCCCCGCCAAACACAACTGAATTGCAGTGTAAAAATTTGACCTCTTGATTACAAAGACCTTACACAGATAAAGAGATTGAGAGCAGTCAAGTCGTTTTGCCACATGTTATCTTTTTTGAACTTTGCCTGCGATTAAATTAGTACATGTTCTCATGCCAGCTTTACAGATGCAGAAAACAGAGGCTCAGTGACAGTAGGAGGGCTCGTTCAACAATTTAGAAGGGGGCTTCTCCCAGGGCCATTTCAATACAAGCTGCTGGATTTCAGTGTAAGATAGTGGTCCTCGCCTGGGAGCATCTGTGGAGACCATTTTGGTTGTCAGAACTGCGGGGTGGGGCTGCCCCTGGCATCTAATGTGAGGAGGCCACGGACCTGCAAAGCACCCCACGTCATAGGGCGACCCTCACAGCAAAGAATGGTCTAGCTTAGAACAGCGAAGTGCCCAGGGGGAAGAAACCCTTTGATGCATGACAGAGGATTCCAGGGGAGGAAATTCTCTCTCTCGTTTCACGCCTGTAAAAATGGACAAGGACCCAGAAGCAAGGTGACGACAATTTAATAAGGAAGACACAACCAATAAACCTTAACTTGCCAGAGACAGAGCCTCATAAAAGCTTCGATCCTGAAATGCTGGCGTCGGGGGAGGGGAATGAGAGGTTCTCCTGGGAGGGTTGAGGGGAGATTGTGCTCGTCCTGAGCTGGGGGTGGGGGCACCCCCAGGCATACTCGGAGTGGGTAATTTTTCACCTCTTTTCAAACGTACAGCACAATTATTTTCAGTAGCAATCATAAATTTAAACAAATAATAACAGCCAGGAAACTGACATTTTTCCTTCTGTTGAACATCGTATACGTCATCATATTAGCAACAGAAATTAAGCAGAGTGAAAAGGGAAAACAATAACAGAGTAATACTTTTTAATTATATTAATGTATTTTCTTTTATCAAGAAAAATGTATACTTGCCTACTGGTCTGTTGGAATAATGAAGCACATTGCAGATTCTATGTTCGTGCTTGAACTTCTGTAAACTTGGCAACCACTGTCAACATCGGTGTCCTCTGCACCTTCGGTGGACAGTGCAGCCAGGATTGTCAAACTATCTTCACTCACAGTTGGTGGAAGAATTTTTTCTTAATTTTAATTTTGTAATTTCCTTTCCCACAAAGCAACAGGTTTACAAATGGGAATGTTAATACCTTACAAGGGCAAGCCTGGCAGCGATACATGAAACACCCCGCCTCTCACCAGAGTCCACGAATCACAACTCTGCCCATGTCTGTTTCCCTTCAGGGTCCACCGTAGCAGAACCTCCAAAGTTGACATTGTCTATTAAAATACTTTCAGCCGAAAATCCATCATATTTCTATTGTATTGGTAAAAACTTTGACAACTTTCTTCTTCAGCAAAAACAGAGAAAATGGCTGAGTGACGGAGAACATTGATATTACCATTCTTAGTATCCCTTCAGGCAGTGTACCCCTTAGTGCCTACGTCAAGGGCTGATGCATCCTGCCGCCCAGGCCTGGGTGTGTCTGTCCGCGGGGCAGGGGTGGGGGGACTTCCTGGCAGAGGTGTCATTGTTTACGGGAAGGATCTATGTGGAGGCAGGCGGCATTGACTCAGTGTTCCAAGATTAGGCCCTTTCTTTGTTTGGTTTTTTTTCATCTTTACAAGAAGAATACGAAAATACAAAAGCACATGAAAGAAGAAAGATCACATTGAATTACGTAGTTAGGATTAGCTGCGGTTGCCATCCGTAATGTGCCTCAAAGATGCTGACATCTTTGCGGAGGGGCTATGTTGTAGACATATGTGTCTAAACCACATTGCAGGAAGTTAGCCATCGGAGAGAGGGACAGATGGAGAGCTTGTGTTGGAAGTGGGGTGAGGTTCGAAGGAGGGAGTGACTGCTTCCAACCAGAGTAGTGAAGAAGACTTCAAAAGAAAAGGGGCATTTCAATTTGTCTTGAAGAAAAGGGTCCTTCAAGACTACGTTCAGGCCTGGAGGGCAGTGGCCCAAGGGGATGAGGTCCTGCCAGGCTCCATTTCTCCATCTGCAAAACAAGCACCAGAACATCTTTGCCCGTTGGGTCCACGTGGGAAACAGCAGAAGAGGGGACAGGGTGCTCTATTAAACAGCACGGCCTGGGAAGTAGCTGTGATGGTACTTAGCTGTGTGGGACATTCAGTAAATCACTTGCCTTCTCCAGACTACAATGTTCTCATCCAAAAAGAAATCAAAGGATTTACCAGATGAAATATCTTCAAGGCGGCCTCTGACTCAAACAATATTGCGTGATCCTACAAGTGCCTTGGGGTGGGTTTCTGAGAACGGGCTCCCTGCATGCAGACAGGCACTTCGGTGAATGGGGATCCAGAGAGTCAGCTGCAGTGTTTACAAAGTCACAGTCGGGGGTGGGGGTTTCCAATCCACGCCACCAGCCTGCGTCCCTGAATCTCCATCCCCACTTCTACTATAGTTATTCCCACCTCTCGTCCACATCCTTCCACTCAGTTCCCCCACCACCACCACCACACACGAGCGAGAAAAGAAAGGAGGGAGAGAGAAGGAGGGGGCAGAGAAAGGAAATAGAGAATATGACCATTTCGGTGCACAAATAGCTCAAAACCAAGCTTCCCACAGAGAACTGCAAGACCAAGGGGGAAGTCTCACCTTCTTCCTGCTTACCCACCCGTCTCTTCTTTTAAATTCCTTTTCCTCTATTTCTGAGATTCATCATCGTTCAAAAGGAAGAAAGGCACTTTGGTCTTTTACGGGTACCTTTTCATGAAGCCTTTTGTGTGTGTCCGCTTCTCTCTGTAGTTCTGGGGAACAGCAGGGGGCCGGGGGACCCAAAAGAAGGGGCCAAAGGGTTTTTGCAATGCTGTCTGGTGGGCGATGGGATGGGCTGGAGACTGGGAGGGGCGTTTCCTGGCTGGGACACCAGGAGCCTTGTCAAAGGATGCTCCTGACAGGCCTTCAAAGCTGCGGACAGAAAAGTCAGGAAGAGGAGAATAAGGTTAGAGGTGGGGAAGACCCTTTTCAGGAGAGGGAGTCCCATCTCAGAGGAAATCAGTTAGGTCCTGGCCCCTCCCTCACAAACCAAGATCTTTGCTCTCTGGGGTGAGTAGAGAAGACCAAGGTGCAGGCCGGGGAGTCAGCACCCTGTCAGGGGCATTTATTCTTTCAAATTAATTCAGACCACATTAATGATAGCAGAGGTAGCAGAGGAAGTCGGGGTATGTTTGCAGGGTGATCAGGAGACACGTGGGATGGGCTGGCATCAGCACAACTTCCTCGGGGAACACCGGGCTGTCAAAACACAGCCCCGCCCCTTCCTCTCTGACCTTGGACAAGGCTTGCCTCAGTTTCCGTATTAATTCTACCCTGAGCACCTCACAGGGTCTCCGAAAGGGCCCACGTGAGAAACGGGTGAGCTGTGCCACGGTGTTCAGATGGGTTGGGGGCCCTGTCCGGTGGCCCGGAACCACTTTCCTCCCCCCAGGAGAGGTTCATGAGGAGACTCCGCCTTTTCCTCACTAGAACTTGAAGCCCTGTTAGTAGAGCAGACATCCTGTCCAGGAGGAAAAGGAACGGGTTTGGGAAACCACGGAAATACTTCTTACCCCTGTCATTGATGGCATGGGCCTGGGCCTGGGTCTCCAGGGGGCTAGCAGACAGGTCGCTGGGGAGGAGGCAGCAGAAAGTATTGGCGGAGGTTTGGGAAACCACCCAGAACTTCTCTTCTCTGTGGGGGAAGGGGCTTCTCCCCCACTGCAAACGTCTGCTCTTCAGTGCCATTCAGTACAGGTCTCTGGAATCCCAGCCATATCAGAGGCAGCATCATTGGCTTAAAGCTGGTAATGCTTTGTGAATTTTATATTTATCAAATCAATTTCAGAAACATTTTTTGGCTCGCAAAGTGGGTCATACTCTCCCCACTGGTTACTCATCCATGAAACAGATACGTTATGTCGCCAAAACACAGCCGTTGCTCTTAAATCAAGTATTTGAAGAATAAAAGGCAGCCACTGAAATACATGACACAGGGCCTGACTCTACTGTAACATGTCACTAGTGAAGTGGGATCAAACCCAGCAATATTCAGGGTGGGGCAAAAGTGGGCTTGCAGTTGTGCCTATGGAAAATAAGATAATAATTCATAAACGACAATACAAGAATAAACTCGTGTACTCCCAACTGCAAACCTACTTTTGCTCCACCCTGTATATTGATGACGATGATGATGATGATGATTACAAAAAGCAATGTTGAATTTCTTTTATACTCTGGGCATTGTTCAAAATAACATATATATATTTACTTAATTCTAACAACCCATAAGGAGAGTATTATTATGCCCATTTCACAGATAAAACTCAGGGCAAGGTGGCAAATTTTCTGTGGCCACACAGATGGTGGGTGATAGAGGTGGACCCAAGGTCAGGTTTGCCTGCGCCAGGCTCACCCTCCTAACCACAGCGACTGCCCTTGGCCTTGCTGGGCACCTCAAGAGAAGCCCTGGGGGACGGGGAGGGGAGGGGAAGGGAGGGGAGGGGAGGGAGGAGAGGGGAGGGAAGGGAGGAGAGGGGAGGGGAGGGAGGAGAGGGGAGGGGAGGAAGGAGAGGGGAGGGGTTTAACACTCAAACACAGACTCCGGCTCTGTGCCTGGGTTTAAATTCTCGTTGCTTCATTTCCATGAGCCTGTTTTTTCATCTGCAAAACAGGAATAACAATAGTATCTATTTCATAGCGTTAAGAACTAAATGAGACGTGGCAGGTACAGGGTTTAGGACTCGGGAACTGTTAGCTTTTCCTCTTGTTTCCAGTCGTTGTGCCAGGCTTGCGGAATGAAAAGGAGTCAGAGGGAGGGGGCTTTGGACCCAAGTCCTCACTGACTCAAAGCCTGGAGACGCGGAGGAAGCTCATTTCCTTCTTCACCCAGGCCCGGCGCCTCCAAAAGGTCCTTTGGATTACGAGTAAGCCATCTCCCAGCCACTAAGGCAAAATTTCAATAACTCTTACCCAGTTACTGGCTAAGGATGCCCAAAGAGACTTTTAAGCCAATGATTTTCAAAGAAGGAACAGAATTTGCACAATTTGAAGAGAGGGACTCGGTGGTTGGGTTGTTTGTTATGTTTTAAACCTAAACAGGCCCTGGCTGGGCAGCCAGCTGGTTGGAGCCTCATCTCCATACGCCAGGGTTGTGGGTTTGATCCCCGGTCAGGGCACATTCAGGAATTAACCAATGAATGCGTAAATAAGTGGAACAAAAATGGATGTCTCCCTCTCTCTTTCTCTCCTTTCCTTTCTCTTGCTAAAATCAATAAATTTAAAAAAGCTTTAAATATAAACAGAAGAGCCATCCCACAAGGCCAGCACGTGACAGGCCCTGGGAACTGGTGGCTTGTGAGCCACTCGGCATCTACACAGTCTGGCTTCATATCAGTTCCTGCCACCTCAGAGTCCAAAGCCTCTCCAGGCAGTCACTTCCCTGAGAGGCCTGAAGACGCCAAATACAAACTCAGTTGCCCAAAGAGGACCTTCAGTTACAGTTATTGTGCCCATTCTTCTGAGAGAGGAGAAGATGATGAGGAGAACAGGGCTGACCCCTCACTTGTAACTGCTCTCAAGTGGGTGGGTGCCCCCCGATCTGCATGCGAAGTTCTGCTCTGCGAGGGATGTCTGAGCAGGAACGACCTTGAGGTTCGAGCATCAGTCATTCCCACGCCACCAGCCACCTGCTCCTTCTGAGCAGGAGACTTGTTTTCTTGTCCTCTCTGAAACAACAAATGGTCTGAAATATTGAACGGGAAAAAGTGCTCCCGGCACAGGCACGTTCTCCCGCCCCGGGCCCCCCGTAGAGGTTGTTTCCTGAGGGCCTAGGCGGGGCCAGCCGCCGTGCATTTGTCATGTCGGGATTTCTCCCCACCGCCCTCAGAGGTGGAAGTGACAACTTCATTTCACAGATGAGCAGATTTAGGTTCAGAAATGCGCTGTAGCTGTTCAAGGTCACATACCTGCTAAGTGACTGATCTGAATCATCAGGCACCGCACCACAGAGCCCCCGTCTCTCCCGCCAGAGACGCTGAGCTCCTTGGCCGGGGCTGCAGCCATGCAGGGCGAGTGTGCCAACAGCCCGGGTGACTCTATGGGGCTGTCTGGGCTTGGAACCATGGTATGACATCAACCTTCCTATAGATCAGGGGCTTTATTCCGTCTGGATCACGGGTTCCTTGGGGCAGGGAGGAATATGCTATGGGTACGGTCTACGGAAAAATAAGTTTGGTCATGCATGAAAATTGCATGCCATGTCAGGTACTTCTGGAAGTTCTGGAGCTTCTAACGTGGGTTCTACTAAAGGGTCATAAACTCAATGAAGGCTGAGCCTGTAAATCCTTGGCTCCAAGTACTTGGCGACAGGTGGGCGGTAGCTGAGCCTTTAAACTATTGTTTCTGGTTCCCATCCCAGATCTACTACTGACTCGGCATCACTGGATCTAGAGTCCTGTAGTATGTTCCTGGATGATTTTTATATATCCAACCAAAAAAAAAAAAAAAAGTCTCTGGACTGGCTTTTGGAAATTATGACTCTGAATGATACGCATTCAATGGGTCAGAAGTCGTTTCTGTTGCTTCTACGTACGTCATGTTGCATAAGTTCCTTAACTCCCAAACTTTCTCTGTTGTCTTCTGTAAGATGGGGATAACAATTGTCCCTGCCTCCTAGCATTGACAGGGGATTAAATATTCTATGCAAGTGTTTAGCACAGTGTCTGGCACATAAATATTCAATAAATATTTATTTATCACTAATTATATAGTATGATTTTATCATCTATGTAATTAATTTCTGTAAATGGTCTCTTAGTGATTGAATTGGGAACAGAATCTAATTTCTAGCAGACTGTCAGCAAAAATACATGAAAGAAAGGAAAAAATTCAAAGTTTATTAAACATTAAGAATAACAGAGAAAGGTTTGCATTTAACAGCATCAACACCACCAGTATCATGGTATACAATTAAACTGACCTCATGTGAACTTTTACCTGTTTAGCAAATGCAGTCTTTGTGGTGTTGCCAAAAAGATAATGGTGAATTACTGTTATGTTTGGTAAGGTGCTCCAAAACTAAAGATTTTTGTGTCTTGACTTAAATACACACACACACACACTCCCCTACATACATTTGGCCCTGTGCAAAGTGGACTGACTTTAGTTGCCAAATCCAAGTCATCAAGATCTAGGTGAAGTCTTTGCTCCTTTTTGAAATGGTGTTATTCACTGTAGAGACAGCCTGTGGGGGGCCCTGGGCTCCCTCGTGGCGCCCGGGGGCCCTCAGCAGGGAGCTGGACAGCAGAGAGCAGGCGACTACCTTGGCCGGGCGGAGGGGCAGGGAGCTGGGGGCCCAGTGCCCCGCAGCTTGCTGACCCTGGGGTAAACGCAGGCCTCCATGCCCCCCACACGAGCAAGCAGGCCAAGCCGGCCTGCCGTGGGATCACCCTGATGAACTTGGATAAAGTTTGAGTTTTCCTAAAAGGAACATTAGGGGAAGATTAGATAAACTACTGGGGGGAAAAATGTACCAGGCTGTATTTTCCAGATGTCTGCTTCTTTACTGCGGGGCAGTGGGGGAGGGCTCCACTTGACATTCTTTCACAAATAGACCCAAGACCTTTTAAATGTTCATTTAGAATTATTTTGAGTTTCTTCCCCAAACCAGGGAGTTGAAGGGAAGCTCTCGGTTACTCGCACAGCCTTCTACCCAGCAGCGCCAGAACCACATCTGCACTGTCCTCGAACAAAGGGTCCTTCTGCTTTGAGAGATGGTTTGCAGGTGCCTGACACGTATGCAGATGCAAGGCCCATCACATCTTACCCACCGAGGGGTTTCCAAGGGCAGCTGCTTTCTGAAGAGAAGGAAAGGCCCCATCAGCCCTCCCATTCCATCCCCTACCTACCCGCTGGGTGGCCTGAGCGGAAGGACAGGGCGATTGAGTTTTGCCTTTCTGTGCACATCTAGTCAAAAGAAAGGATGATGTGACCTTGTCAGGATGTCCCGGACCCCTTATTCCAAATTGTATCGAAACATTAGCATGGTATGATTTGGATTCATTTTTAATGGCTAAGTAATTAATCTCTGAAAGATGCTTATGATGAGAAGGTGAAAAATGACAACAGGACTCTTACAATAGCTGCAGTCTGCAGAGCTCCTTGGACGCTGGTTGAGCCAAGTCATCCCCAGTTGGGCCGTGGCCTCCCACATGTGTTAGCAGAACTGCCTGATTTCCCAGGTCACTGCCCCGGACAGAAGGCAGCGAGTCTAGGGGTGAGCACTCACATGCGTGCGGTGACAACGACCTACAGGTAAGGCACCTGCACAAACTCTGAAGTTTAAACATTTCTAAGACAAGGTAGGTTTCTGAAACCTTTCCTGGCACATGAAAGAATATGTTTTATTATGATCTTTTTTTTTTCCCTGCACAAGACATGCGTGATGCTCATTTGATACAAACAATCTAATTCCAAGAAAGACCAGGGCACAATACAGTGTGTGTGTGTGTGTGTGTGTGTGTGTGTGTGTGTGTTTGGGCTGCCGTTATACTTCAGTGAATTTGGGTGGTCCAGGGCACGCTCCCTTCAACACAGCTCCGCTTAGCTCCTCCATTTGTCTCTGCTGGCGAGAATGACGACATTGAACAATTCTGCTGCAATTTGCCTCTTCGCCAAAAAAAGGCCAGTTCTGAGCTCAATGGCTCGCACTGAACGTTGCTTATTCAGTTCTGCTTGAGATTGCCAAGGGCCTTGTTTGTTTGCTGTATTAGTTATTTACCTGAGCGACACATTTCAGTTCTACCCCTTCCCCTCTCCCACGAGAATGGGTGGCTTGGCATGAAATGAATCCCTAATAGGAAACCCTACCAGTCAAGCTTCCCGAGACTGTAACACCATGAGAGAACTGCTGAGGGACTAGCAAGGAGCCCACCAGGTCACTATGGAACTGGATGTTCTAGAGGCAGGAAACTAGGAAATCCCAGGGATGAAAGGGTATTTTAATCTAGCACAAACTGTTTCTCTGTAATAACAACAGAATCTCTTGACATTATACAACTTAGTGAATCAAAAGAACCGTCTTTAAAGTCAAAACATCCATCAGATTTTAAGCCGCACACATAGCACCGATATCAGCCACACGCCGCGTAAGACGCGCGCGTCCACGGCGGGGCACAGAACTGCCTGGGGTGGTGGCAGTGAAGCCCTAACTTCGAAGGGAACATTTTTGTGGCAGATGCTTTTCCTAAGAAACACTGCATCATCCAATAAATATTTGACTAACATCCATTTTGTGCTTTTGGGTGACGTTAACTGACTTCTTTCTGAGACCTAATAAGAAACAAGAAATCTCCTCATGTATTTTACAGCAGGATCCATCACAGCAAGCCTCAAACTGTCATAAAGTTTTAAAGCAGAAAACATGCCGATGTGTCAGTGACAGGCTTAAAATAGTAAAGACTTCAAAACCCCCAAGCCCTTCTTCTCTGTACAACATTGAGGAATATATATCTTTGCTATATAATTTCAAAACATGGAATAGTTATCCATTTCTTTTTGCTATATATAATATATGTCTTCCAAAATACATTGTCAGTATTTATATCTGAAAAATACTGTACAAAAAAGAACTTCCTATAATTACTCTGTATAAACATTAAACAATTTAATAATCTCTCCTTTTGGTCTATAGTAAACATTGAAACTGATTCGATTAACCACAGTTTGTGACAACACCATCCCCTTCTGAGATACACCAGTGTCTTTTACATTCATTTTTCAGAAGTCCACTTTATAAAAGCACACACGTTCAAAAGCAAACAGAGAGGAAGAAACAGAAGCTCCAGGGTCATTAACTTATGAAGCGGTCAAAACTAACACCACTAGGAAACGGGTCTCATAAAACACCAACTCATTAACTTAACTGATTTTTAAAAACAGCAAGGTATAATAATTCACAAAAATATATATATTACAAATGATGGGGAAAACTGAATCTTAAGTGATTGAATTGTTTTGAATACCAAGAGGGCTATGGAAAAAGTTAACTACAAAAGTGAGGGCGGGGCGCCTGGGACGGGGGAGAACACCACCAAACCTACCAATGTCAAAGCTGGTCCAAGGTGCATTTGTTTCCAGCTCGTATACTGATAAGTCAACTCCTCCTTCTTAAACCTGGCTTTCTCTCAGCTTCCCTGTCCCGGGAATGATCTGGGCATGCTCAAATGCATTACTGTAATTTTTGTTTTTTAAAAGAGGGTGAAATTCTTAGGGAGGAAAGATATCCTACGTCCACTAGTAATACTCAGGCAGCATGCTCTAGCGTACAATAGGATTATTGCTTTAGGTACAGACAGTGCAAAAACACACTCTGTGTTCTATAATAGTACTCTTACTTATCTGGAGTTGGTAGAATTAAAAGGAAACTTAGTAGATAGCGGTAAGTAAATATGGGATCTAACGCATCTAAACAGCACTTTAAATTTGAAGACAATTACCACCCAAACTGAAAACATGAGGAAAGCAACCTATACCTGAAGAGAGCTGTGGAGTAGTGCCCAGTTATTTTGTGCACTGTCTTAGCGTGGTAACTTACAGGTTGAACAGAAACAAGAGCCTGTTGTCTTGAAAACTGAGAGCTACCATTTTACCAGGGCCCTTTGTGGTGGATCCAGACCCAGGGTCCTGGAAGAGTAGGTAAGAGCGAACATGAAGCCAGTGGGAAGGGTAGGAGGAGGGGAGAGGGGAGGGGCAGGAAACCCAGCGAGAGGTCTCCCCAGTCCAGTAAAAACATGGCACCTTTTTTTTTTTGGAGCTAAAAGAGGATGAGAGGGTTATCTGAAAATGGCAAGTGCAAAGGAATGCACGCGTGAGCGCACACAGTTGACCACACACATGCGCACAAGCACATGCGTGCGCACGCACACACACACACCACGATGTGAGTCAGTTGTGTTGACTGATGCCCCTGGTAAAGTGCTGATGGCAGGAAGGTTGGCTCGGGTGTGGTGCTATCAGACAGGAAACAAAGTGTCCATCTAGTCAACAGCCAGCCCCCCCATATGCCATCTTACAGGGGCCCGTGCCTGGCCTCATACTTGGCCAGAATGTTCTTGCACTTGCCCAGCTCCTTGCGCAAGTCAGCCACCTCCTGGCGGAGGGCCGAGTTCTCCTTCTCCAGGAACGAAGCCCGGATGGCAATCTGATTCTCCTTCAGACGCCGAGCATCCCGGGAGCGCTTGGCTGCCATGTTGTTCTTTCTGCGCCTCGCCCAGTACTTGTCATCCTGCTCGTTAGTTACAGAAGGAAAAAGAAACAAGATATTAGATTTCAGCAGAGCTGAGTGTGGGCCAGGGTGCTGTGCTGAGGCACCCGCCCAGGTGTCTTCACATGTGTCTCCTTCCCTGGCCCTTTCTGCACCTCTGAGAGGAGAGTCCGTGGGCCAAGGCTTCCTTCCTGGAGCAAGGACCAACCTGTCACAACATGCACCTACTCTCCTTGCCCAGCAGAGCATGTGCCCCATGAGGAAAGACCAGAGGCTGAACGAAAGCAAGGGGCTCACTGCACACCCTAAATTGCATTCCAGATTTCTCTATTCTTTTTGGTGAAAATTTCGTTTTAGGAACCCTTCCCTTCCATGGGCACTCCTATGCTTTTTTGATATTAAGTTGATACCATATTGTTGGAAGGCAACTTGGCAGTATCTACCCATTATTTAAATGCACTTACCATTGATCTAGCAACCCCACTTCTAAGAACTCAACCTATAGCAATCAAGCACAGATGCAGGCACATTTTTACCACAGCACTGGTTGCAATAAAAAGAAAACGGCGGGGGGTGGGGAGGAACCTGCCCTGACTGGGTGGCTCCGTTGATTAGAATGTTGTCCGTACACCGAAAGGTGGCAGGTTCAATCCCTGGTTGGGGTGTGTAGAGGAGGGAAACAATCGGTGTTTCTCTCTCACATCAATGTCTCTCTCTCCCTCTCTAATCAGTAAACATATCCTCGAGTGAGGATTAAAGAAAAATAATTCAAAAAATTTAAAAACGTAATTACCGGTAAGAGACTTAATAACTACATTGTGATGGAGACTACTCTGCAGCTGTCAAAAATAATGATCCAGTTGAACCAGAAGGATGTTCATGATGCACCACCATGTGGGTGGAAACAACGGTGTTCTGTAGATAAATATGTATGGCCTCATCCCATGACAGTTAAAGAAATTATAATACTGCGTGTTCATGGAAAGAGGCCTAGAAGGATTCATGCCGTGCTATAAAATGGCGCCTTTAGCCGGGGGATCCAAGGAGAGGGGTAGCATCTTTAACTTGGTATTTTATGTCCTTCTTAACTACTAGAATATTACGTAATGAGCACGTACACTTTGGTGATTAAAAACAGAGATTTAAGGAATAAACTTCCACCTGTCGCTGATCAATGTACTCAAGCTGGTAGCTAGCATTTAAAGCATTTACTCTAATTTCCTGTTTAACTATTCTCTAGGCCTTCATTAGTCTGAGTAATGTTTAACTGTGGTCAACAAGAGAGCAATCCCTTCTCCCCCTCCCCCCCGATCGCTGCTCTCCCTGCCAAAGAAAAGGAAACCGGTCCTGGGAAGACTAAGAAACGCAAACCTTTTAGACCTTTCTGATTGATCTGTGGTGCCATCTGGTGAATTTTGCCACCGCCCCCTTGCTTCCAACAACTTGCAAGAGCAAATACCTGGGTCCTAGCAAGCCTAATACCTGCAGTTACATGCCACCCTGAACAAGTGGGTAGGGCCAGCTCTTACCCTCCCCCAGGATTCCAAGGGGCAGCTGGCACTGGAGAAGGTCACATGGGTTGGGGCCAAGGCTGCAAGCCAGGTCCAAGGTCAGTGGTCCCCTCCCCACACCTGCTCACTGCCCCCAGCAAACATGTGCCCTGCACAAAGACAGGAAGTGTCAGACAGAAAGCATGTGCAGGCGCCTTGTGCCTGCTGTTCACACGCCGGGACTGTTATTTACAAAACACTTTGAGCCTTCTATACGTTTCATAATAATATGTAACAAGGTGAGAAAAAATGATCTTCACAATAGTTGGTACCAGAACTCTTCTCAGAGAGGAGGCGGCTTGGGGCAAGTGTGCAATGGCTCTTGGTGGGATTTGTTATCTGTGCTTCCAAAAGGGAACTGGGGGGGGGGGGGGGGGGGGGGGGCCCTGGAGGAAAGGGATGAGAGAGGCTGGGGAGAGCTGGGGGGAGGGCAGGACTTCCCAGGGCTGAGTGGGCCCAAGTGAGGCCTCCAGTTCTAATGGGGGTTGTTTGCGTCACTTGGTCAGCAAGCCCACCAGGCTCCTGAATGCTCCTGGGAGTGTGGCTTCCAAGGGCATTCGAAAGAGCAGCTGACTTACGATGCATCAGGGCTTGTACCCAGGGGAGCAGGAGCTCGGGAGGTGACGAAGGACGAGAACCAGCCCCTGGGAGACTGCAGAAGCTGTGGGCGTGGTGGGGGGGACAGACAGGGTGCAGGCCACGGACTTGATGGTTTGTGACCAGGCCCTGGGGACCAGGGAGTCGCCAGCGGACTGCAGAGGAATGACCAACCAAAGTCTCTGTCTCTTAGAGCTCTTCTCACCTCTAAGGTGTTACCTTTTCCAGCCTCACCTGTTGACACATGCAGATGAGTTATGAAAGGTGAGGAATGGGGAGGTGGGAACAGAGGGAGCAGAGGACACAGAAGCAGGACAGATGGAAGGACTGTTCTGGCCTAGAAAACCCAGGTTGCTACCCTTCGTATCACAGAACAGTTGGGGAGGGGAAAGCAGGTTACTGAGTGGGCTGATAAATGTGGCACTGCATCCCCGTCCCTTCTCCTCTGCCTCCTAGGTGCAGACGCCATGTGGTTGCCTGGGTAACCCACCCAGCAAGGACCCCCTTGGTCCTGTCCCATCATCTTCCTGAGGGGCTCGTATTTGATGCCTCCTCCCCCTGCCAGCTTTCTTCTAACAGGACAATATCCCTTTTTCTCACTGGACTAGCAGTTCCTGGAGGGTAAGCAATAATGTCAGTACTGGCTCACCTTGGAATCTCCAGCCTCTGATATAGGGCTTGGCACACACTAGCATTTAAAAAATATTTGTCAAGTGAATGAATGGACATTGAAAAGCATTACGACATCAAAGCAATTAAGCTGATTCTCAGCTAGGAATCCCAGTATGCCATCGCTTAACTCTCCCAGGGGATGCATGCTGTCCCAGTGAATGGGTCAAGGCAAGAAGTTCAGGCCACTGTGGGGAAGCCCACTTCACTCAACAGGTTTGCTCATCCACTGCTGGGGACCACAGACACCTCTCCCACCATCCCCGGCGCTGGGCTCTCTGCTGGACGGAGAAATACGTTACAGCTCTGCTTCTTGCTTCACACAAGTTCATGGCCTGTGGCCTGTGACCTGAGGCTTCACTCCCAACTGAAGAAATCCGAGGACACGTGGCAGGAGGAGGGGCTGTGTGCAAAGGTCAGGCCAGACCACGACAGTAGTAACACACATAATCCCAGTACAGGCTCGTGCAGTCTCTTTGTTGCCAAGGTTATCTTGGTTATTGAGTATGCTGGCTCTTTGCTTTGAACTTGGAAATTTGGAGACCCCATGAAGGTCTGGTCGGAAGTTACATCTGTTACTCTGCAGCATCCTTTCACGCTACCCTCCATTCCGAAGAAAACCCATGCTGCATGTGCTCCCCGATTTGGTATACGAGATGAGCTCTAACATACAACAGAATGGGGTGGCCAGGAACACAAGGTGAGAAACACCATCCCGTTGAAAGAAGATACCTGGTCACCCAGGACCTAGTCCTACGGTATCCCCTTCACACCCCGTCATAGGCTAACCATCAATTCCCTGAAGGCTCTAGGTTTTCTGGTGTTTTACTGAGCACTTTCCTCTTATGAGTCGCAGGGTGACAGCTGCAGGTTTGTCAGACAAGAGCCCCTGCTATAGTGACCTTTCTGGAAGCTAGAAGCCTTGGGGACCAGGCTAGGTCTTACTCTACCTAGCAGTTAGCAGTGTTCACCTTATTTCACCTTTCTGCTTCTCCAGTTCTACAGCTGCAAAAGCGTAACTTGGTCTAATGAGTCTCTGAGGACCTTTTCAGCCCCAGCATGGGACAATTCTGGGTCACTCAAGGTAATCTCAGGTATATAGACAAGAGCAGTAATTCAAGTCTGCTGGATACTTCTCTCACTGCCCCCAGTGCTCCTTCTAGACAGGGAAAGCAGAGGGGACTAGTCTAACTCAGTCCCAGGACAGCGTCCCAAACCCCATCTCCCCGCCCGGGGGCAACTTGCCTTCTGAACCACATTTAAGTCTGAGAAATGGGGGTCAGAGATGAGGAAGGAGCTAATTATGCCCGGCTCCAGTTCCTTGAATGTATATATCCCGTCTTTATTGTCCATATGATTGGGAAGAGGCATAAACACAGAAAATTATACGCAATAGCTCACCGAAGTGGTTCTAATTTAATATTAGTGGACATGGCATCATTTTGGAAACAATTCCCTTCATTAAATGTGTCAGAGTAATTTTAAGTTGCATCTGACTTCCTAAGATAATTCTATTTTCCTTTATAAATAATGTGGCCCTTCAAGACAGCAGAGAAAAACCAACCTGGAATTAACCTTTTGTTGGGATACTCAAGTGACCATTATCTTCAGAACAGAGTGAACATTATATATAAATAGTGTCAGGGGATCCAGCCTGGTCATCCAAGATGGGCAATGTGGAGAGAGGCCCTGTGTCCCGCTGCTATTCCTGTGGCCTTCAGGGAAATGGCAGCAATTAATTATTGATAAATTCCCAAAGGGAATTTCCATTGGAAGGCTAAGAGGTCAACATGCCCTTCCCGAATAATTGTCTCTTTCCAACCTTGAAAGGAAGTTTGCCTCCTTCATGGGCTGCAACTCACTCCTACACTTAGTTGCTCCTGCTTAGTTCTGCCTGTTACCAAGACATGAAAGGCGTGCTTCAGAAGACACCCATAGAGGAAGCAACTTGCTAAGGCCTAGGACCAGAAATCAAGCGTCCTTTGCTCATTAGCGTGTGGGATCTTCCTGGGTCACCCTTGTAATGTGCCACTTGGTCCTCCCACTCTGTGTGCAACCACAGCCTGATTACCAGTTCCAATTTACCTTCAGGTCATCAGGGATGAAGACTTTGCGAGCTTTCTTAATCATGGGCTGCGGTTTCAGTTCTTCCTCAGAGAACTTGCGTTTGCGAGGGTCAAACATTTCCTGACCAGGGATGCTGGAGAGGGCAAGGTCTGCCGGGTCTGGCTCATAACCCACTGGGACCTGGATGGTGTCAGGATCGATGGGGCTCGGTGTATTGCGGTTTGCTGGCAACAGCTGACCTGGAACAACACAGGAGTTTGAATTCATCAGCAACCTGGGGAATGACTTGGTGATGCTCCTGGGTGAGTGATGAGAGTCTTCCCATTACTCATATCTGACTCTAACATCATTGATATTATTTATCCTCACCAAGTTCTTGAGAACACAGCAAGGCTGGGTATGACTTTACTCCGATCAGGCACAATGAAGACCCACAAACACGTGGTCACAGACTAAATTTAAATATACTTGAGTTCATTCATTTCTGTAAGACTTTCCTGGAGTACCAGCTATATGCCAGGCACTATGCAAGGTGCAATGCCTAGAAATACATGACTGTTACTTTCAAGGTGCTTTCTAGGCAAGTCAGGGAATCAGACCAATGACTAGCCAGTGAGCATACAGTGAGGGTGCCCGGATGGACGTAAACCTCACATGCTTCCAGAGTGTGAGGAGCAGGACATACACAGAACAGGTTAGGGAACATTTCCTAGAGATGGCACTTGGTGTATGTAGCTACATCTTGAGACAAACGGTAATTAGCCAAAAAAGGTAATCCAGGCACAAGTACAAGACAGAAGGCTGCATGTTTGAGGAACCACAAGTAGTCTTGGTGTCTGCAGCACTGAATCAGAGCACAAGAGGGGACTGGGGTGGGGGCGAGGTGTAGGTGCAAGGAATGTAATCAGGAAAGTGGGCACGGGGTGTTATACAAGGCCGTGAGCTGACGTCAGTGAAGGATGCTGAGCGCTGGAGTGACAAGCGGAGCTGAGGTTTGGGAAGAAGACTCAGGCGGCATGAGGAAGGGACCAAAGTGGGCAAGGCTGGGTGTGGGAGACCAGCTGCCAGGCTGCTGGATAACCCATGCCTGCCTGAAGACTGGCAGTGGGGACAATGATGAGAGGTAGGCTTCAGGAATATTTAACACGTTACAAAGGACATAATGGAGATGATCTCACTTCCACCTGAGGGTCTATAAGCTAAACCACGGAAAAGCACAAACATCCATGGAACAACAGGTTTACTGAGTTTCCTAATGTGTCTTACTCATTAAAGTGATCTTAATAACAGACCACACTGTTTATGTGGAGGGCTCTGAATCCTAACTTCAAGTCTCACCTGAATTTTTCAGTTTCTCCTTTTGCACCCAGAGGATGAATGCGAGGACAGAGCTCGGCTTTGTTTGGCCCATCGGCTCCTGCTCCTCAGTGCCAATGTCTGGACAGCGGGTGTGTCCTGTAGCTTCCATTAAAACCCGCCCCAGGCTGAAGCACAAAGCCACTGGCTCACATTCCAGCTAAACTGTGAAACCAGGCTCGTCCGCTTTCTGGAAAGGCCTGGTGGGGAGCTTACAAAATGAAATGTTCTGGTGACCTCTTAGGTCTCCGTTCTGCTTTGAGCTCTCTTTGTCTCTAGTTTGCCAAAGAGGAAGAGACAGGCCCCAAAGCCACTGGCAGAGGACGGAGATTTCTCATTAGCCAAGCTGCAGCTCGGCTCCAGCTTCTAGAGACTGCTGAGCTCTGTACTGGATGGTGGCAAGCTGGATTTGATCTTGTGCCTGTTGACACTGCCTCAGAAAATGAACCATATCTGAGGCAAATGGGGGTTTTATTTTCCCTTTGGAAATTCTCTTTGAACTTAATAACAAAGCCACCCAGCGCCCCATCTCTCCAACCAACACTCTACCCCTGCCACACACGCACGCACGCACGCACACAGGCACATGCATGCTTCTCCTACCCTCTGGAAACATCTCCAATTAATATTTCCTAAAGCTAATTGCTCCAAGTTACTTCAATTTTCTCCTTAGTACTTCAGTATTCTGTTTGTTACGCTATATAAAAAATATTAAAATCTTGTCCTTTATTGCTTTATAAATTTGTTTTATGTACACACACACACACACACAACACTTCCTCCTCTACCAGGCATGACGGGCTTCCATGTTTTATCTACTTTATCCCCGCCCCACCCCTCAGCGTGGTGCCTATATCAGAGCTCAGCTGCTGCAAAGAGCATTCCTCATTTAATGGCGGCCCTTTGAGACTCAGGGCTCTGTCGTTCATTCAAGGACATTCTAACAATAATACTTCCCATTTAGGCAGAACCTTCCTCAACATCCTTCCTCTCCAGTCCTTTTTTCCAATGGGAGAAGGTCAGCCCTACCTGCAGAATGGAGAAACGCTATCTGGACCCCAGATGAGGTCAATGGCTTCGCCAAGGTCCAACAGCCAATGGTAGAGGACGTGAGGAACATAGCCCAGTCCGCCTTCTACCCAATGCCCCTCTCATGCAGTGCGGGCTAGCTACATTTTCTACTGAGTTAACTGTGTTGGACTCATTTTTCCTCCTTTATTCCAAAATGTCTAGTGTCATTGGGTAATGGGGAGGAGGGTCTTTACTGTTCTGCTCAATCTTCTGTGGATTCGTAAACCTGTAAGAATTTTCAATTTAAAAATACAGCATTACATAATTTAAAAAAATACCCAAGGTATTCATTGCAAAATACAAATACAGAAATGTGTCAAGAAGTCATCCCCTCTCTTGCCCCCAATCCATCTTGCTGCCCTTTGGACAGGTGAGCACCCTTAACGCCTCGTGTGAACCTTTCAAACCTTTGTTTTTACACATACAGGATGTGGCCACCCATATATCTTAAATAATTTTTCAATATACCACGTACAATTTCCCATGTTAGTGTACATAGAACTATTTTGTTCTTTTTAAAGGTTTAGTAGTATTAACCTAATCATTCCCCAACTGACGGATTTTTAGGTATGTGAGCATTTTTGTAGAAAAGACTCCAAGAAGTGAAACTCCTCATGCAAAAGGCAAGCATGTTTTATATTTCTAAATGCACTGTTAAACTGTCATATCTATTCACACTTGTACCAACATTTATGAGACTGCATTTTCTCAAAATTAAATATTAATTTTTAAAATGTTCCCAAGTGATATACACAAATATCACTATTGTTTTAATTTGCATTTTGCTCATTACTAGTGAGGCTGAACATCTCACATATTTATTGGGGATTTATTTCTTCTCCTGTGTGTTGTCTCTTCATACTTCTTGCCCTCCCTTTTTTAAAAGAGGTTTTATTGCTTATTTATTTGTAAGAACCCTTTACATATTATGAATATAATCCTTTCATCGTTTTTATCTACAGAAAATATTTCCTCCTAGGCTCTTGTTTGTTTTTTAACTTTGTTTACAAAGTTTTTCAGTACTGGCAAGACCTTACATAGTACTGTAGTAATATCTTGAAATCTTATGGCTCTAACTTTCATAGCTTCTCTAACCCCAAGTTATAAATACATGCATGTATACATATGTGTGTGTATATGTATATTACTCTATACTTTTCTCTAACACAATTATATAATTGATTTATTGGGCTGGCCAAAAAGTCTGTTTACTTTTTTCCATAAAATAAAAGATACATGTTTCATTTTCACCAATGACGTTATTGACTTGGATATTTTGAGTATGTCAGCTGTCTTCTGCGTGGTATAACATTGCTTATTCTTAATTAATCTCTTGACTTGATTGCTATCGACTTCAATTGGTCTGTATGACCACGGAGCATCATCCAGCGAGAAATCTCCAGCACAAAACTTCGCAAACCACTTTTGACACGTTCAGTCAGTCACAGCAGCTTCTCTGTACACTGCACACATCTTTTTTTTGCATTTTAGTTGTATTTTTCCCTTTCTTGAAATCATAAAGCATAGTATGCCAAAAGTGTTAAGCATTTTCTTCCATCTTCAATACTAAAGTGGCTATACAAAAAAAATTTACCAATTTTGATGTTTTTTTAAAAAAATGCATGCTGATATGACAGCTTTCACAACACAATCTAACAAAATTGCTTTGAATGAGTTAAAGACAACTCAGTGCTAGTAGAGCCATCTTATATTAAAAACCAAAGGAAGTTTTTGGTCAACCCAATATATTTTTAACACTTTGGGTCACCTAGAACTTATTTTTGTTCGATAAGGTACAGCACCCATTTATGATCAAACACTCAGCAAAATGGGAATAATGGGACATTCCTCAACGTAAATAAAGGCCATATATGAAAAACCTACAGCCAACATCATACTCAATGGGCAAAAACTAAAAGCTTTCCCACTAAGATCGGGAACACAACAAGGATGTCCGCTTTCACCACTTCCATTCAACATAGTATTGGAAGTCCTAGTCACAGCAGTCAGACAAGAAAAGGAAATAAAAGGTGTCCAAATAGGAAAGAAGGAAATAAAACTGTCATTGTTTGCAGATGACATGATAGTGTACATAGAAAACCCTATAGACTCCATCAAAAAACTATTCAACCTAATAAGTGAATTTGGCAAACCAGTGGGATACAAAGTCAATATTCAGAAATCAAAGGCATTTTTGTACACCAGCAATGAAATAGAAGAAGAAATCAGGAAAAAAAATACCATTTGATATAGCAAGAAGAAAAATAAAGTACCTAGGAATAAATTTAACCAAGGAGGTAAAAGACCTGTATGCAGAAAACTATACAACATTGAAGAAAGAAATTAAGGAAGACAGAAACAAATGGAAGCATATACCGTGTTCATGGACTGGAAGAATTAATATCAACAAAATGTTCATACTACCCAAAGCAATTTATAGATTCAACGCAATCCCTCTTAAAATACCAATGACATATTTCACAGAAATAGAACAGACATTTCAAAAATTTATATGGAACCATAAATGACCCCGAATAGCCACAGCAATTTTGAGAAAGAAAAAAAAAAGAATTTATTTTTGTATACAGTATAAGCAAGGGTCTGTACTTAATGCTTTCCAAATGCTTTAATGTACTCTATCAGTAAGGTTTGATATTTGATAAGGCAAGTTCTGTCCTCCCATCCATTGTTCACTTTAGAAAATTTTCTTTGGTATTTTTACACTCTTCTAGTGAATTTCAGAATATGTTTTATTAAGTTATACTTAAAATGATTATTGGGATTTTTGAATGAAGATTGTATGAAAGCCATA